CACGCGCGGCGGGCACGGGTTCAATCCCTAGTGTGAGCGTTCCATTTTTTTTTTTACATTTTGCAATGTTTACATTTCTTTTTTACAATTATCACTGAAAAATACAATTGCTGTAAACAATACGTCGCTGATCTAAATGCTATGGGATTCCATTTTTGACACCTCTGCCGCACAATGCCACTTTCAGATGCAGGACTTATGAGGCAGCTCTTCACGCAACACCTTGGGAGTATTCTTTTCGGAGCCGATCACGGGTATTCACCACGGGCACTCACTACTGATTGCCAACACTTAAATGTACTAAACAACTCATCTTGAAGTACAGAACAGCGAGCAGAACAAACATAACTGCAAAGAAATCGCACGGCAAACAAATTGCTCAACGCATTTCGTCTCCTGCGCGCAGAAAAAAAAAAAATTGCACAGTTAGGTGTAGTTACATGACTTCCACCACTCACTCTTTCCTCTCCACTGCTCCTTGCAGTGCGGGGGTTTCGGTTTCGGTTTCGAGCAGTTGCATTTTTTGGCTTTATTAAAAAAATATGTGACTTTGCAGCACAATGTAAATTGGGTAGGGTAGTATTCCAACACCATAATAAATCACCTGGCAAAAAAGAAAGAAGGTTTTTTGGGGGTGTCAATGTCCCTCTAAGCACCCATATCCAAATTTCTAAGATCTGAGAAGATATGCACAGTATATTTATATGTAAAATTGATGCCCGGACAACTGTCCATTCCCAATTTTTTCTTCGCGATTACCTCTAAATTTTCACTGTGCGCTTGCCCTGTATCTTACGGTAGATATTGCGTGTTTGGGGTACATTCAATAAAATGAACTAAAATTACCGGGTGTCTCAAGTAGCGGCCAGGCTCTTTAAATCAATAGCAAAATTTGGTTTCTTAACCTATCGCACTACGATTTTGTGCAGCGTTGCCACAGGTGGTGCATTTTTTCTATAAAATTTGCAAAGAGTGAACTTGCCTGAGGAAAAAGTATAGAAAGAAAAAGGCTTAACTTCTATGGAAACCCAGCGAAGCCACCAGTCTTCAATCAATAAGGCGCCCTATCGTTTGAAGACTGGTGGCTGCACTAGGTTTCTTTAGGAGTTAAGCCTTTTTCTTTCTTTACTTTTCCTCGGGTGGGTTCGCTTTTTGCAAATTCTATAGAAATTTTATAGATCTATACACGTCTGCAAGTCCTCTCTCAGGGCGCCGCCATCTTCCTCAGTGGGGTGTGCTGCGTGGCCATAGTCCGATTATGATGCCTAAGCAAGGCTTCGTAATCGGATTATGACTCGTCCAAGCACACCCCAGCCAAGCAAGATGGCAGCACCCTGAAGGCGGACAGGTTCCACGAAATAGCAGCGTTCAAAAGAGTTTCTTTTCCGTTGCCTGCACGCCAGCAGGTGCTAGCGGAGGGCATTCCTAGCGCCACCGGCGATGGAAAAAAACGGGCTGTTTTCGAACAAAGTTTGCCAAGAATTCCACAATTTGAATTACCTTCCACCGCAGTCAGCGGGACAACATTCCACCGGTTCCTCCGCTTTCTCTATAGGGCGGGCCAATGGCGTAGCAAACGCCACAGAGCACACTCACTACGAAAGGCTGCCAGGTGTTCTAGAAAGCTTGTCAATCTACTTTGATCTGGTAACGTTGCCCCACATCGCGCGAATGCGACGCCAGCAGCCAACGACTTTGCCGTGACATGCCTCAGCTATCGCCGCGACTGTACAGTGTACTAAGGCGGGACTGCTAAATTTTTTCTTTCGTACAAGTGGATTGCAGGCTTACACGTAGCAGCACACATTGCCACTGTCCAAAGCCCCGAGGGTTGAGTTGATCGTACAGATGGTATCTGTACAATTTTTTTTTCCCCAGCCCATCATACCTTCTCTCGCCTTGATAATCCACGTAAAGTTGAATCGATTTTCTCCAGGACTAACTCCTACAAGTACTCACCTCTCCCATTATGTATTTAGAATTGAAACGGCCTGCCCTCAAGCTCGGTGACAGCAAATGACTACAACTATTTTATGCAGAAGCTTGTTAAGTTGTTTGAATAATCTATTGTGTAATGATGCTTGTTTCTCTTCCCTGTTCTCATCAGTGTTTTCCCAATTTTATTATAAGTAATGTGAATTTGATGTACCCCCCTTATGTAAGGCCTCAGAAAAGCTCCTTAAGGTAATAAAATAAAATGAAAAATGAAATCTAGATCACTCGAAAATGATCTGCCACGCTATTGGGCAGTTCGCTTTTCTGCCATTGAGTGACTGGGCCGAACAAACGACGGAGAGACCTTTTTTTATTGATGAGTCTTTTTTTTTTAGTGAGTCTTGTAGTTCTTGTCCTTTCGTTCCTGCAAAAATCTGAGAAAGTTTATTTGTCTTACCTTTTTTTTTTTTCATTTTTCAGGGAACGCAGAGAGAAGGGAGAGAACATGCCCTCGGCTCTTCCGAAGTTCTTACTGGAAAGACCACCGGTGACAGGTGGGTAGTGTGCTGGGAGCAGATGATGAAGGGTGCCATTTGGCAAATCGCCTGTGGTCACCGACGAGGTGAGAACGGCGGGGAAGAGCATAGGTTGTCTCGCCTTCAACGTGAGCTTCCTACCTTCGACAACGCCTTGGCGTCTCATGCACCTCGAGCGTACTCGCAGCCAAAGTATGGTGGAAGGCACAGAGCACACGCTGGACATCTGAAAGACGTCCAGCATGTGCTCTGTGCGGGCGTCTCAAAGACACGCCCTGCCCTTCTCATTCTGTCGCGACTATAGTCTTTGGTTTACCACAAACAAATGCAGATGTTTCAAGAAAAACAAAATGTGGGTCACCAAACTCGCCGCTGTTTCAGGAAATAACATTGTTCTGATTTTCGACTCGATAGTAACGCTTCTGATGTATAACCCCGAAGGATTGTTAATTTTGATTATATTTCACAAACAAAACACGTTAAAGTTTGGAGCCTTTGTACTCGGGAAGCTTGGGACAAACCGACGTATTTCAACTTGTACGAGGCAGTCTTCGTAAATGTGAGAGTAACGGTCGGTGCTCCGTCGATGCTTGGGATGCAAGCACGATGCATCCGACACAGATAAAGTCAATTAGTGCAAGCACAGGCCCTATACAGTCGCCGACCGATTATTCGGACTTCGCAGGGACCGAAAACACGTCCGAATAATTGAGCAGTCCGAAAGATCAGCAGATTGAAAAACTTGCCTTTATTACTTCCAAGTGGGCTTAAAAAAACGTAAATAGTGCCTTGCTTCAAATTATGCCTGCGTGCCTTGTTTTAGGTTACGCTTGCGTTTGCGTTCGGCAACCTTCTGTTAGCTTGAGAATCGCTGCCTTCTTTTCTAGCGTTATGGTCAAGTACTTTCTGTGCTTCTTAACGACACACCTCGACGGCAGAAGAACAGATGGGGCCGTGACGTCCAAGCCAGCTTTGTCCAAACAAGATTAGAGGCGCAAATTCACAAGCGCAAAATGGCAACTGGCGACGCGAAAGTGGGGCTACAGTGGCTTAAAGGGGGTAGTGTAACGAATGAAACTGGAGAAGCGGCACAGCGTTGGAAGACGGCCGCGGGTGGCGCTGGCGCTTGCAGCACCGTCGTTCCGGCTATGGCTCCGGCTTGGCCGCTTGGTCAGCTTGGCTCCGGCCAGCTCCGGCCGATTCGCAGCTGTCGACTACACTGTCGTCTGCTAGTTTCACATTTTTTATTCACTTTCAAACACAAATCATGTCGTTGGAAGTTCACTGGAAAAAAATAATTGTTTTTGATGTATTTATATTAGTTATGAAGCGTGTTAGGGTGCCCCTATTTGCCGGCCGATTGAGGCACCCAACGGAGCTGCGGATCGAAGCGCCACCTACATCGTCTTCCAAGGAGCTGCCGTTCCTGGTGCATGGTGGAGGCTACGCGATAACCACACTACCCCCTTATAAGTCACTGTAGTGGGGCGGAGGTGCGAAGGGATGAAAAGAAACAAAGCAAAATGATGATGATGATGATGATTACATGCAGCTAAATGAGCTAAATGGAAAAAAGGCTAGCATAGCGTCACCTAGCGGTAGAACTCAGGAGTATTCAAGTAGCGCTGCCAAACCAAGCCAATCCATTTGCAGCCAACACAGAATTCAAAATGGCCGCTGCTCAGAGGTGTTTCCCGCTGCTCGCTAGCGATGGTTTTGTCCCAATAATCAAACTTTCGCACTTCAAGCTGTCCGAAACATTGGTCGTGAATATGCACTATTTCTATGGGGTAACTCACGGTTCCTCCTTTAGGTCCGAAATATCGAACAAGTCCGAATTATCGGAGTCCGAAAAAAAGGTCAGCAACTGTAATTGGCTTACTGAAGCTGGCACTATAGTTATATTCAGCATTATAGCTAGGCTGTCGTGTTTTCGGTGTGTACCGAGAAACGCCGAAATGTAACCCTCAAAAGAAGTCTATCAAAAACTGGGAAAACCAAAGGACCTTGAATGGAGCTCTTCTTGAATAAGAAAAGGCCAAGCTGGACGGGAAGACATCTTTGTCTACTGTTTCATTTTGTGTTGACCGTGAACACAGAAAGCACTGAAGTGTTTGTGAGGTCCTTTTTTGAGGAACCACACATCTTATCTTGTTTACTTCTCTTACCAGTTCTTGAGCCACGGGTACATGAATGTGACCTTAGCTCGTCGACTCCAGTTACCGCACTCAGTGCAGCTGTGTAAATGGCGTAATCCTCTAGGTAAGCGCATCGCATTCAGGCCACTAGACGGAGGTGGATTGAGATGGCGAATGCGCATTATACGGAGGATTATGGGAAGCTACTCGGCTGCGGGAGCGGGTGAACAGCCGAAAACATGGTGGCATTCTTATTAGCGGCGGTGGAGAGCGGTACCTCACATAGTCTTGGGTGTTCGCCCACATTTTTTTCCCAAGAAGAAACGTGAGCTTATATTGCCATCATAAGTCAGCCGAATGTTGCCAAGCTGCTCGGTGAGGTCGGTCCCCGTCCAGGCCTTGCAAATTGCGACTTGCACGTCGTGGGGGAGTCCATAAAAGCTCCGCGCAAGTCCGAATGGCGCCAAAAGCTCCGACCACTGGTTCCAAAAAATGAGCAGCCCCTACCTCGGGGCCGTTCCTGCTTGCGCCAGAGCCTCTCGGCCTCAGGGTCTGACTGTAATCGACGCAATCTGGCGAGGCAAGGCAAGGCGGTGTCTTGCAAGCGGTTGGAAACGATTTTGCTCGCGGGGCATGCTCACCGACGTCGCCTCTGTACCAGAGTGACCCATACTGGAGACAGCAGCTTGGGTTTCGATGTCTTTTGTGTCTCATAACTTCTTGCAGGGCGTCGAAGACAGCTTCGCCGTTCTCTACACTCGTCTAAAGGGCTTCCGCGCGTGAGACACCGGCCGGAAAACGTGGTCACGTGGTGCGTCTGGTAGTGGAAGTGCAGCTTTAACTTTGAGATGTGAGGCGCCATGGTGTCATTTTCACGGACATCCATGTAAACTATGATGGGCTGAAGTCACCTTTGTGTAAATGCAGCTTGGGACTCTCTCCTGGTGTTTGGGTCATGTGCACATTCTTGGGGGTGGTGAAATTGCATGCTCTGTGTCCTGTTTCTTTCGGCAGAAGCCTCGATAAACATTGATTTTTGATCCAATACAAAAAAAAAAAAAAAAAACACAAAATTTTTGGGAAAAAGTAAACCACAAAAAAACATTCTCAAAATCACTGAACCCTTGTTCTTGCTGGCAATAGGAGAGTTCTTTGTCCCTGAATGCTGCATGCTTCTTTCCGCAGAGAAAGATCTGGAAGGCAAAACTGAGGACGAGAAAGAGATGATTAAAATGATGGGATTCGCAAACTTCGACACCTCCAAGGTAAGAGAACATTTACTCGCATTTACTAGATTGATGCTATATTTGGGGCATTTATTTTTTCCAAACAAAACCAGATCTTAAAAGTACCAGAAGTGGCATTGAGGAGCCTCTGCAGTTACACAATTAGGCATGGACCGACTCAGTGGTTGAGTAATTTCAGATAAGGCTCATCTGAAAAGGTTTCCAATTGACATTTTTAATTTACTTGATATTTTTATATGTCATTGCCTAATGTGTAAGATCAGCAAATCCACGTAAATTTTGAACCAGAAAATAAAAATCTTGAAAAAAAAACAAATTTTGAACCAGAACATAAAAATCTTGAAATAGAAAAACTTGGATATCATGAGTACTGTAATTACCACGTTTACGTGATCTGTCGCTCTGCTCAACTTTAATGTTTGATAACATTAAAAATAGTATCAGAAGGAATCTGGGCATTTTTTGGAAGGCAAAAGATAAATTCATTGTTCCTTGAAATATTCATGTTTTTTTTTTTTTTAAACAGTGGTCTCCAAACTTTCTGGCTAAGGGGCCAGATTAGGGATCTGTCGCATCTTGAGGGCCGTAAAATTGACAAATGAATATAAATAAAAAAATACTAAATAAATAATGCTAAATAAGCATTTAAATACAGAAGTGAAAGCTTGAGTAACAATATAGGAAAAAAACGAAGGTGGATGAATAGATGTACTTTATTGTGAAATTCAATATTAAGCTAATTGCGACATTGCACAATTATTAAAACCCATAAAACTCGCCAGGCATTATACAAAGTGCAATGAAACTCTGGCATACTCACACAGGGCAGAAGACTAACGAGAAAAGTAGAACTGATGCTAACAATATGCAATAGTTACGACACAGGAAACTAAGCACAATATACCAAGAATGCAAAGGAATTTTCATATGCATGCTGTAAAATCCCTAATGTTTGTGAGCCCTTAATTTTCACGAATTTTGCGAATTGAAAAGTTCGCAAAATTTAAAGGCACGCTGAAATTTCGGTTCTCAAGAGTTTTAGTGCAGGTGTCTGGAACTCGTGAAAATTTATGGCTGTGATTATGTCCTCTGTGACCGATTCACGAAAAATAGGGGCCGCGAAAATAAAGGGATTTACAGTATTTAGATACGAAACGGGACTAAGAATGGTGGTGACGAAAATATCAAAATATAAATAATGCGAGAGGACCCTCATTATGATAATCAGTTTTCTCTCCTTGTTGGGATCTTGGAGTGCACGGTTGGTGCGTTTCGCGGCGCTGTTTCCTTACGCACGCTTATTTTTGTCCCGGTAGCAGCAGGCTATTAGTAGAAGTGGGCCGTAGGCTGGGGTTCATTGGAGGGTCCGTGGCAAGCCACAGGCTGGTCAGAAGACCCCCGCAGGCCAGATTTGGCCTGCAGGACGGGGTTTGGAGATCCCTGTTCCAAAACATGACACACATGGCTCCTTGACTACTTTTCGGCAAACTTTGAAGTCATGTCTCTTTCGAAATATTTTAATCACATATTCAAATTTCAAGTTTAGATGCATTGATACGGTTTTAGAGATATTCACACAGATCTTGCGATTCTGAGATGGGTATAAAAGAAACCACGTTTGATTTATCTTAAGTTTATGTTCTGTATTTTGGCCAGTAATCAGCTCTTTTCTGGGTGGAAAATGGTGAATTTATTTATCATAGACAAAGGCAATAACCTATAAAATACCAGCTAAATTAAACATTGACTGGCCACCAGAAGTTTACATGCATAGTGACAACTTTCAGCAGTGTATATTCATGCTCATTAAACAAAACTGCACAAAAAATATTTCTGCATTAGAGGATTGTTCTGCAGTTCTAACTGTTATGTTTCAGGGCCAAGTTTTTCTTAGACATCTCTATTATTTTTTATGCACATAATTTTGATACTCTCATTCTGGGCCTTTACCGACACTGCAAGCCACCCCATGCTGTCTTCAGTGCAATGTTTGTTGGTTTATGATCCAGTAATTTTATCTAAAAGCTTCTTTCTTTTTTTTTCCCTAAGAACCATTTACATTCCTTGGAACATTTATTTTATTCGTAGGCATTTTGGGGAATACCCTTATCAGGGTTGTACAGCATGATTTTGTATCTGACGTGAAGCCCGACTTTGAGTAATTTGAAACGGAGAACCATGTAAGTATGTATGGTCACTTTAAGGCAGGGGTCTCCAAACCCTGGCCCATTGGACAGATCCGGCCCGCGGCCTCAGTCCTTCCAGTGACCAGATCTTAAAGTACCGCTAGCTGCCCGCTGCTACCAACGCAGCAGGCAGGGCGTCACTGGTAGCATCGGTAGCAAGCCCGCTGCTACCAACGCAAAAATAAACGCATACAAATAAATGGTGCCGTGACGCATACAAAACACAAACACAAAAATGGCAAAAAAACTTTTTTTTTATATATATATATTTATATTTTGGTCTTTGAGACTGCGACTGACTCCCAATCCGCACCCTTGGCCAGAAAGTTAGGAGACCCCTGCTTTAGGACATAGAAAAAGTTTTAACATACTTCTGCGGCTGAGAATTTCCGTACAATTACCGTAACCTTTCTGAATCGTATGTTTAGGTGCTGCAGGCTAATATTTCCTTTTTTCACAGTACGTCCTGTACAAGAAAAGTGTCATTAGTGTCAGCTTATGAGGGAAATAAACCAAATTTAAAAAATTTATGGGGTTTCTTCACCACAAAACAACTATGCATCGCCGAGCTCTCATTCTCCACTCAAATGTAGTGCTAGCAGCCCGAACCAAACTCCAAAGTTTCAGAACTAACCGCTATTCAAAAGTTAAAAGTGATTTTTTGAAATTTTTAATGAGAAAATGGTGGCCAATGGAGGAGGGAGCTCTCGAATGCACTGAGCTGAATAGCACCAGTTACCGAAAATGGGCCCATTTTCACGGTTAAATTTTCAAAAAATCACTTATAACCTTTGAACGAAGTAGCGGCTAGTTCTGAAACTTTAACATCTGGTTTGGACCGCTAGTGCTCGTGCATTTGGCGGAGCAGGGATGGGCAAAATACATGCAAATATGTATCGAAATACAAATACAAAATACTTCATCAAAAGTGTATTTAATTACAAATCTAATTACATTTTCAAAAAAACATTTAACTGCAAGATACAAATACAACCAAAATTTGGTCTCCCTCCAAATACTTTTCCAAATACATTCCTCAAAATTTGCAACCGGCGACTTCAGGGCACCTGCAACGGGTTTCTGGATATCTCATTTTAATTTTGCATCGCACACTCGGGAGTTAGTGTGCGAGGCTCAAATAACGTAATAGAAATATAACCACAAAAAATATATAATCAGCTTGGACGTAATAGGGGAAAAAAGTACAGAGCTTCAAGCAGCTTTTTTTGTCGATTACATTTTGGTATAGACCAACAAAAAACCGAGACGACCAAGACGCGCAGCACTAGCTAGAGAATTTTTTATTGTTACAACTCGCACCAGTTACGAAAATCTGGACGACCCGGTCGGATTCGCGCATTTAGAATGTTCCAGGCAAAAATATGGATGGAAATCAGGCTGGAAAGCGTCACAAGTTGTCACAGGCCCTTATTTAGCCAGTCTGCCTGTGAACGTCGATTTCGTCGCTATTCTTGCCCTGGACTAGCACCGTAATCACAAAGTCACTAAACGCTTGTGCTTGATTGAGAGACACTGCATTCGGTGCAGAATGTAGTTTTCTTCCTGCTCTAGACACTGCAAATAAATTTGAGGGATGTATTTTCCCCCACAAAATTGTATTTAATTATAATTGTATTTGAAATACCCACGTTTTAGTATTTAAATACACACATAAAATACATTATCCAATTTGTAATTAAATACAAATGCAAAATATACAAAGTATTTGAAATATGTATTTCAAATACTTGTATTTGAAATACTGCCCATACCTGGGGCAGAGGATGAGCGTTCGGGGATACTTAGTTTACTGTTGCAGTGAAACAAACCTTGTAACTGTTTGGGACATCCTGTTAGGACCTGACAGGCTTAAATAGCATGTGCTGGAATATTTTCTCTAGAATGTTCTGCCGTATATTATTTAATTTGCTCGTGGGTTTGGAGTTGTTATTGGAATAGAGTATTCACTGTTCCAGGGAAAGCATATGCCGGGCAACAACACCTACGGCGTTCATGTCATCCACAAGCGAAAGTATCGGTGAGTGCCTTACCTCTTATTCTTTCGAGCAGATTTTGCATTGACATTGAATGGACAACTTCTTTGTTTTCATCTTTCAAACGTTTAGCAAAGCCAGTGCTAGGGCTATTCAGCTAATAAAGATAATTTTATTTCCAATAAACATGTACGGTCGGGCCTTAATATTACACAGATGGCGGAATGTGTGGCTCTCAGTACATGCTGCTCCACCTGGAGGACCCCTGCGTGATGCAAGGGCTTTCCAGGTGGTGCAGCCTATACCAAAAAGAGTGGCTGTTAGGTCTAGTTGGTTGTTCATTTCATTAAACTTGTGTGTGCACAGCAAAGATGAGAACGAAGGGAGGACAGGACACAAACAAGGCACATTTTTTGTGTCCTGCCCTCCCATCATCCTCGTCCTTTCTACGCACGCAAAAGACCATGCTGCGCCATTCTCGTTTAATGGTTCGCGTACATACAGTGAATTCCATCAGCCCTCAAAACCACCAACTGTTGAACCCATATGTAGAAGGCTCACGAAACTAGTGTAGTAGGGAATGGCTGGACCGGGGACAACACAGCAACTTTGCCTGTCTGGCCATCTTCCTTTTCTGCCCCCCCCCCCCCCCCCTCCTCTCCCCTCACTTAGGTTTACCTGGGTGACTGCCAACATTGTCAGTTATTGGATGACTCATTCCACAGAACCATGATGCCTACTGATTGAGTCATCCAATCATTGATGTTTTCCACATTCACTTTGTATACATTTGTGCAAAAAGGTGGCGATAAGTCTGGGATTGGCCGGCGGGCAAAATTACTGTGGCATCCATAGTGGAGCCGTGATAAGTTTGGTGAGCACTGTACAAAAAGGCGATTATTTGAGAAGCATCAAATGCGGGCAGAGTTGCACGTGTGCCAAAACCAGTTTTCCACAAACTTGTGACACAAAGAATATCTCACTGCAGCAGCCCACAAGTAAAGTCTCCTGCAATATGAAAGACTTACTGGGGGTGCGTGGCTGGCGGGGGTGCTGCGCGTGCTCCGGGCGATTCCATTCTACCCTGAGGGCAAGACTGACGGTGGGGGTTAAAGCGCAACACATGCTTATCAGCATTTCGGTTTCGTGGTGAAGAGCAGTTCGTCAGCGTCATGCACGGCTATATCATATTGTCGCCAGAATTGCCGCCTGATGGTGCATTTACACTTGCGAATTCGCGGGCGGATTTGTGCTGGCAGAAAGTGGATTTTGGAGCCGGGTGGCAAAATCGACTCGTTGCTGGCGAAAAATCTGGGTCAGTCCTGAACCCAGATTCAGATTTTCCACCAGAGATGAGTTGATTTCGTCACACGGCTCCGAATTCCACTTTCTGCCTGCGCGGATCCGCCCGCAGATCCGTAAGTGTAAATGCGCCCCGGCCTGAGCCAAGGCAGTTACTGTGCTTTCGATAAAGTGTTAGATCCGTGCGATCCTTCTCACAAAGGAATGCATTCTTCGACGCATTTTATCTTTGAAATGTTTGACTCAGGTATAACTGTAGTATTTGTTTATTTGGCAATGCCTGTTGTAACATTTTACACCTGAAACAACTAATGAAAAACAGTGATGACTAGTATGCTTATTTTGAGCCTTCGTGACCACATCTCTTGGCACGACGCCGATGAAGCAAGCTCTTCTGCTAAATTCAAACTGAAAACTGTTAAGCGTGTTCAAGCTCGGTTGAGCCGAGTGGATGTCCCCCCTTTCAAGGCAGAGTGAAATTGTCTTAAAGCGCGTAGCACTCCCGTCAGCCGCCACCTTAGCCTTGCGCTCCCAGTGGGTCTTTCATAGTGCAGAAGACTGACTACATTTTATTGGATTAATTTTTTTACCTGCAGAGAGATTGAGTACTCAATGGATTAACTGAGTGTTGAAGGAAGAGTGATAAATTTCGGCGTCTCTCCCCATGTTGCATGGTGCAACAGCAAGTCGGGAAGAGCGGCGGAAAAAAAAAGTTGCAAGCGACCGCACAAAGTTTGTTGAAATTGACAGTGGCAGCTGCTGCGTTGTTGAAAGATGAGCTTTGGAAGATTTTTATTTGGTGTATGTGTTTTAGGATGCTCAGTCACGGCTGGACTGGAAGCACGCGCTCTCTTTCTCTTCTTACGGCCTTTGCAATTGGGGCAATCGCCAACTCCCGCCGCAATTCGCGGGGGGCGCTGTCACCTCACCCCTGGTAATCCCTGGAGGGGCTTTAACCCCTGGGCTCTACCCTTTGCCGTTTGCACAGAGCGTGTGTGACAGTGTATCTCAGCACTGTCACAACTTGCGGCCGAGAGTTTTTATAGCCTGTGACACCTGATCCTAACGTCTAGACCCTCAGCCACTATCTAATGCGCTTCTGATGAGCCCAAAACGGTGAATATTTGACGCACATCTCCGAGAGATTCAGGAGTAAAAAGTAGTAAGTAGAGACAGCGAATGCGCGGAAAAGCTATACTCGTCTTTACCTCCAGGACTTCTGTTGCAACTCAAGAACAGGAGGAAACGGACCCCTTCTACGTGGAAAATCTTTAAATGATAAATAATTTGTACAATCTCGTGAAATGTAAGCAGGCCCAATCTATCTATTGCCGTGGTCTGCATCATCATTTCATAGGCCGCACATGAAGTCGGCCAGCTGCTGTAGACGAGGGTGTAGTAGTCTGTACAATTTTCGCACAGTGCATATTACAGCCTAAAGTGCTTCCTCGAGGGCTTGTGCACATATCCAGCTGATTTTTTGTTTTCTGTCCGTGACTGTCGTTGCATGGTTAATCAGAAGGATTCTGAGGAACTTGTTTCAAATTAATCCAGCCAAGCGCTTTGAGTGACTGTTGTCAATGCCCTCTGGGCAACTTAGGATTGGTGCATCTTCAAGATAGGGTGCAATGAGTTGCACCCTATCTAGTTGCAGAACTTCGTACACATTTGTACATGGAAGGTGCTTAACAGCCTTTAAAAAAAAGGCAACAATGTCGTCCAGAAGTACGAGGAACCTAGGATTTGGATAATGAAGTCTGCTTTTATCCTGGCCTTGCAATAAGACGAACAGAGGATCACCTCTGTTACTCGTAGTCAACAGCATAACACAAGCGTCTCACCCAGACTCACTAATGAGTTTCACCAAATAGCCACCGACGTACATCAGACTAGAGCCACTAAATAAGCTACGTTTCAGAGTAGCGACACTTGGCCATATTGTGTCTTAAAATAATGGTTGCCAGTTATCTGAAGCTTTATCTGAAATCACAGGAAAGACCTTTCCGCCTTCCACAAATGTTTAAACAGTTTGTGACAGAGCAAAGCAGTATTGCATGAGCTTCCTAACACCGAATCTAATGCTGAGGAAGTCACACTTTTGAATCATGACGATCGGCAGTTGCGTCTGCTCTGCATACGAGCCAAAATGGCGGCGCCCACAACAATGCCGGGGAACGGAGTGCCGATACTCTAATCGCAGCTCATTTAGTGGCTCTACATCAGACCAAAGTTGCCAAAACAACAACCTACGAAGCTCGAACACCAGCGCAAATCAGCTAGAAGGGACTCTCCGAGCGAGTTGAAGTGGGGTGATGTGGTTGCGCTCCTGGCAGCAAGCAAGTGAACTACATATGGAGAAAGAATGCCTTTGACTCCCGGGCGATTGCAAAGGCCGTAAGAAGAGGAAGACAGCATGCACTTCCAGTCCGGCTGTGGTTCATTTTAGGAGCTTTGCTTTTAGTGGGGTAGCTGTAATAGATATGTGAAAGGTGCTTACGTGCAACCGCTTCTGCCTCACATTCGAATTCCTGCGCCCTTTGCTGTTATCATGCTGCAGTGGCGTCTTGCCACTCCCGCTCCTCAGATGGAGAGCTGCAAAGAATGGGTATGACTAGGGGAGGGAGGGAGGGAGGGAGGGAGGGGAAATGGAAGTGCGAAAAAATAGAATGAGTGCCGTGTAGACACGCCGGAGGACCTTCCAGAACCCTAAAGCTGGGGCAAGGGGCAAAAAAGAGGAAGTGTTAGCGCCTTGCTGCACATGATGTGGTTGCGCGAGGGCGACCACAGTGGTTTTTGCGTACAAACACCGCAGAAGTTTGTTCAAAAATGGTGCTAACAGCTACTGCTGTAAAATGCAATAAGGTTAATCAACTGTGCATAATGATTTTGTCTGTATACTTATTCTGCCATGTACAAGGACCGGCCTATGCACCAATGATCCAGAGCGCTCAAAATCCTGCTTTAAAAGGAGTATCTATCATTAAGGTAGCAATTTTGGCCAGTTGGTTCATGATCACCTAAAAAAGCACCAAAAAGTGAAAGCCGTTTACAACTCCCTGTAATGCCGAATTAGAGCGCAGCTCTTGAGGAGGAGGAGGGAAGGGTACTGAGGGGGGTCAAGTGACCTTGGGTGGGGGTCACGTGACCTAGGGGGGTCACGTGACGATGCCGATGACGTCATCAGTAACGATGACGATGCGGATATCGATGACGTCATCAGTGATGATGACGATGCGGATGCCGGTGACGTCATCAGGGATGATGGCGATGCGGATGCCGGTGACGTCATCAGTGACGTCACTGATGACGCCATCAGCGATGATGACGATGCGGATGCCGGTGACATCATCAGTGATGATGCGGATGCCGGTGACGTCATCAGTGACGTCACTGATGACGTCATCAGTGATGATGACGATGCGGATGCCGGTGACGTCGTCAGTGACGCCACTGATGACGTCATCGGGGGTCACGTGACCCTGAGGGTCACGCGACTTGGGGAGCCACGTGACCTTGGGGTCACGTGACCTTGGGATGACCTTGGGGGTCAAGTGACCTTAGGATGACCTTGGTTGCGCCGACGGCGACGGCGACGCCGCTCAAGCCGGGAACGGGCCCCTAAGAGCTGCGCTCTAAAAACACAAGGACGAGGAAGTAGACAGACAAGAGCGCACTCGCAACTGGTTTTTACTTGTGGAAGCAATCATGTATGTAGCTTCAAGCTAACGCATACTCTCTCCTAAGATCTGTTTAGCCCCTTTAACAAGAAGGAATACTCATTCACTGATAAGGAAAGGGACGTATCACTTATGCATTTTCTGCCCTTTGCCTTCAAAGTCCAGGCAAAGGGCAAACAATGCATACGTGATATGTCCCTTTCCTTATCGGTGAATGAGTATTCCTTCTTGTTACGGGGGTTAAACAGATCTTAGGAGAGATGATGTGTCAGTTGGAAGCTATATATATGATTGTTTTCACAGGTAAAAAACAGTTGCAAGTGCACTCTTGTCTGTCTACTTCCTCCTCTTTGTGTTTTTAGAGCGCAGCTCTTAGGTGCCCGTTATCGTATTGAGCGGCGTCGCCGGCGCCGTCGGTGTAACCGCGCAGTGCATTATGGGACGTTTCCCATGATGCAATGTGCGAGGAGGAGTAGGAGGAGGGAGAGGGAGGAGAAGTGGAAGGGGAGAAGGGAAGAGAGGAGGGAAGGGAGGAGGAGGTGAAGGAGAAGAAGGAAGAGGAGTGAGGAGGAGGAGGTTTATACCCTTCCCTCAGTGCCGTTCCCTCCTCCTCCTCAAGAGCTGCGCTCTAATTGGGCGTTACAGGGTGTTGTGTCTTTCATTTTTGGTGCCTTTTTAAGTGAGTATCTATCATGTCATTATAACAATTGAAAACTTTTAAGTGTGCTTTACTGGCTATGGACTTTTTTCCCTAACTTTTGGCATGTTCCTTTTTCTTTTTTTCAGTCAATACATGAATCGAAAGGGAGGATTCAACAGGCCTTTGGACTTCGTTGCTTGAAACATTTCCTTGTGTGCTCATAGCGCATGCTTTCGTGTAACCCCATGACCTAATAAAATATTATGTGAACACTTGTCGGACAGGAGAGTGTTGTTTGAGTGGCTTAAAAGTTAAAAAATCCCACTACTCCTTTCTAGTATGCGCCGCCTTTTCCACCGCTTGGTGGCGGGTATGTCAACGGGTCATTTCTTATTTTCGTACTTTATAAGCTGCATTTGTTTTTTTTTTCGATCTAAAATACTGAACGAACACTACTTTTGTACATAATTGAAACGGTTCGCGCCACTTATATTTTGTATTTCGACTAAAAAGAAGCTTTTACCGGCTTTAACCAGTAGTAAGTCCAGGACCAAAAACGTCACATATCGAGCGCTTTCGGTACCGCGGGTCGCCCCCGTCGGTGGAGGAGGTTTCCGCGTGGTTCGGTTAAAATATGACTCACTGATATTTAGTTACTCTCTCCGTGCCCGCTGGCTTGTCCGAACCCAAAGAGACGTGGAAACCGCAAAAAATGTAGATGCTTAAATATTATTGCAGGCCCCCTTTAATGGGGGCTCAGTGTCTTTAACAGCGATACCTAAATGTTCTTCTATTTGGAGTAAACGTGCGGAAATTGGTTGCATGTTTCAGAATGAGTGCGGCGTTGCGCCTAGCAGACGGAGTTGACGCACCCCACGACGTCGGTGTGCTTGTTCTGGTGGCGACGAAAGCCTTCTTTCGCACATGCCTCAGCTGCCTCGGTCCGGGGTTTTGTCGACCCAGCCGGTTGACAGTGGCACTCGCAACGGCCGTAGCGGCTCTGCTCACCATCGACTGGGCATTAGCTATGTGATCACCGGTGGCAACCGCGCCCTTGTCTTCCCGTTGCGAAAAATCTCAGCGCGATTCGATTAGTAGCTGCTGCTCGACGGTCATCATGGTCGCCGTCTCTCGTCGCGCAGCTGGTCACACTGCGATCGCACTGTGCTTTTCGACAAGCGGTATAGTAGTCAGAAGCAGTCGTCGTGCATCGCGAAGGCAGCCGGATGCTCGCTGGTCGAGCCATCGTTGCACAACAAGCATCGCCGCCATTTCATACGCTCTAGAATCCTGCCCAAAGCTTGTTCCCATTCGTGCAATAGAAACAGATGTTACAAGCCATACATGGGTAAATTACTTTCAAAATGTAATTTAATTACAATTACAATTACTTAGCTCCCAAAGTAGTTTAATTACAATTACAACTACTACTACGCGAAAGTAGTTCATTGCAATTACAAATTACTTTTTAAAAGTAATGCAATTACTTTACAATTACTTATTTCTGAGTTACCCACCTTGGGCCATATAACTGTAAACGAGTTATATGGCCGCTGTATAAATGTCACGAATTATACTTTACTTTTATGAAATTCGTTAAATGTAATATAGAACTTAATTGTTTGGAGTAATGAACTCCTGCGTTCTTATATTCTAAAAAAAATAAAAATAAATGGCGGCAAAATTCACAGGTGCGAGGTGAATCTCCTTAGAGCTTATGCAAATGGTATCCAAGTCAAACCTACAAAAAATAAACTTAAAAATAATACAAGGAAACAAACATGCGACAGTAGCTAATAAGAGAAACTTGTAAACGACGTCAAACATTTCAAGAATACGACAACTTACGAAAACATTTCAGCCACGATGATTCGCTGCCTCTCTCTGTCTGTGGACTTGTAACAAGCCGGATGTGGGTAACCGTAGCACGCGAACTGTGGGCGCTTCCACAAAACTAGTGTCACGATAGCAGCAACTCTATTGCCAGGGATTCTGGGTTAATTCAGTGCACGGTAACACCCAAAAAGCTCCTGAGATAGATAATAAATTTAGGATCGTCATATAGCTAATCATTAGGTTAGCAATGATTGTATCGATGTATGCGTCTCATAAAGAAGACCGATTTGAATTTAGCATGGCAAGAACAACCTCGAAAAATTCATGATACACTGTAAACGACTTTATTTTCCCGAATTTCGCGGTTCGCCTACAATTCGCGAAAAATAAGTCCCGCGAGCAATTCCGGTAAAATGTAAACACATTGGGGTCTATAGTGCGACCCCACCGCGTCGCGAAAATTAGAATCCGCGAATTATTCCAAAACTGCGGCCTCTTGGACGCCTCGATTTCATGATTTACTTGAGCGTGTTTCAGCTGGAAGATATAGACGAGCCATTATTATTATTTTTTTATAACTTTAAGTATTATTGAAAGTGACAAAAAAGTTGCTAACCTGCAAATGTTTCAGCAAATCGGAAATCGCCTTTCGGTCTGTTGAATTTGTTTTCAGAAACCGTGTGGAGAGTTTGCACCTCTCGATTATATTTTTTTACAGTGCTGCTAATCTGTTTGAAGAATTTTTCGTAACAAGGCCCCGGCAGCCTTTCCTTTTCCAATGTAGATAAGACTGTGCAGGTTCTCAATGCAAAGCAGCACTGCGCGCCTCGGGACGGCTCCACAGGCCAGGACGAGAGGACAACGCGTGGATGGTCACGATAGAGGTGTAAAAACAAAGTGAAAGCAACACCCTCTATAAAAAAAGGAAGCCTTCAACGGACAACAAATGTAAAAACAAGCTCCCTACAGTCTAAAGCCCTGGTTTGTAAGTTTTGGAATCTCGTCCAATCAGGCTGACAAACGGTTGAAAGGGTTAGGTAGAGCGAACACTAAATAATGAAAATTTATACAAAAAGGTAGACGAGGATTGGGAGAAGGAAGAGCAGTGTAGCAACAACAGTTGGAAGTAAGGCAGGGTGAGTCGTGTTAATGAGACCTGCTGCTTCTTTGCTTCTTGGCCTCGATGTTAGAGTAGCACGACTTACTGTTAGCGGTACCAACATACGAGATAGAGAAGTACATAAAAAACTCAAAGAAAAGAGAATAATTTCATGAACAAAAAACTCCCCAAACTTGACTGAAATATGTAAGCGAATATGCTAGCGGCGAAGACGCGTAAGGAGAATCTCGAACCTCCCCACCTCGACCGGATGATGTGATCGGAGCCAACCAGCTCGTCTTCGACCCCGATGCCCCCGTGTGGGAATGAAAAATAAGACCCCTAAGAAACAAGGAGCAACATGAAGCGAATGAGACGAAGAGTCAGATTCAACTACGACAGGAACGAAAACGGACGCGAATGTAGCCCTCATTTATCAAATTATTTCTCAAATTCTTCATTAAATCGTTTTAAAGTCTACAAAATCCTTCATTCCGTTCTATCCCAGCCTCTCTTTCCCATTCCTCTTTTCCCTTTTTTTAAGCAGGTTGGGAGACACTCTCCCCTGCCTCTTGGCTGTGCTGTCGTCTCCGTGGCCAGGGGGGAAAAGCGCCGCCGCCGCAAAATCTTGCAAAAAGTAATTGTAATTGTGCCTGAACTTTAGCAATTACTGACGCTAGAAAGTAATTAAACTACAAGTACAATTTCCTTTAGCCAAAAGTAATTATTACAATTACAAATTACCAGGAAAAGTAATTAAATTACAGTAATTTAATTACTGTAATTGAATTACTACCCAAGTATGTTACAAGCACGAGGACATCACTCCGAACGATGCTTGCATGAACGCTGGCTTGCACTGCGCAAGCGCGCCTGCTCGACAAGGACGTTGAAAGCCGGGAGGACGTTCTTGTAGCTCCTACACTCGCACTAGCTCGCACTCATGGTGAAACAGAGAATCAGGTGTGTCGCCGCAGTTAATCTGGTTACGCGACTTCCGATATGTGCTACGTAGGTCGTGCGTGGTCATACGTCATTTTGTCGTCACGGTCCGAACTCGAAGAGCGACAGTTACGGCAAAGGGTTGCTTTCGTGTTTCGCGAACGTTCCCATGGGGACTGCGTGGAATAGGAGCACGCGGTTCGTAGAGGGAAGGAGTTTCCGAGAAACACGAACATGACCGTTTGTGACCAGAATAGCACTCTTGAAGATGGTATACTAAGTCAAGTGGCTCCAATTACTATGTGTACCACTGGTATTCAGAAATTATTAGAAAATCTTCCAACAAATTCAGCTCCAGGCCCTGATGGTATTTGAACGAAACTGCTTAACAACGATTTTAGGATTAAAAGAATTTCCATCTTGTCATTTTTATGTTGTTTATCGTCCTGGAGGATACAGAAAACATCTTCATTTGAAAATGTCGCGATTCCGGTGCATAATCGCAAAGCGAAAGTCGAGCTTTTTCCCCCCCTTGCAGCCGCGAGTGGCAGCCGAAAAAACTACAGCGAAAAGATTACGTGACCTCGCTCGGCTCTAAGCTGCAACATAATGCCCGCTAATGTACGCAGAAAGAGGGAGAGTAAGCGTCCTCCGAGAGAGCACACGGGAAGCTACAGGGCACCCCGAATTACGTCACTATACTCGCGGTCAGCTTTCTGTGGCAATCGGAAGAGAGGAGGAAAGCGCGTGTACAGCGGTTCGTGCACCCTCTCCCCTAGCATTGACTGCATTGCCACAGAAAGCTGACCGCGAGTGTAGGACTGGGACCAGGTGTGACCCTGAAGACTGGGAGTGAGTTGAGGGGTGCCAAAAATGCCAATATTTATCTTTTTTTTTTCTTACACAGCAACTAGGACACGGAGGCGAAATCGGTTTTCTGTTCTTTACTTTAGAAGTGTCAGAGGGCAACTTCCACAAATGTTTGACCGAAGTCCGGAGATTGTTGCACCCCCCTCTCACCTTCCCGCCTTTTAAGCTGTGCAAATATGAAGCTTCCACTCCTCTGTCTGCTTTCCCAACAATCCTTACGTACTGGTGAAATTTCTGCCAATTTGAAAGAAGCAGAAGTAACCCCAATTTTTAAAGGGTAACTGCAAAGAAAAAAAAGTTTTTTTTTAAATAGCCTAATTGGGACAAGCATGTCAAAAAACAATTTTTCCGCGAGAAAAAACATTTTTTGCAGCAATATTTATTGCGTGAGACTCATTTTAGTTTGCGGCTATTTCGTCCGTTTTAAAGGGTAACTGCAAAGAAAAAAAAGTTTTTTTTTAAATAGCCTAATTGGGACAAGCATGTCAAAAAACAATTTTTCCGCGAGAAAAAACATTTTTTACAGCAATATTT